TTGACTTTCTGTTTTATAAGAGGAGGGGCGCTCTGCAGAGCAGGGCGGTGACACCCACCTGATCCTCAGATTCATCCCCTTCTGCTGTCGCCACACCCTGCCACCTCAGGACTTGGTGAGACACAGTCTGAGGCACCTTGTCAGTCTGACGAGGCTGTTGAATTCCCTGTAGTACTCTCCCCAGTTGAAGGCGCCCCAGCGGTAGAGAGGTTATGCATTGAGCTGCGCTCTTCAAAGTCAGCAGTTCAAAACCACCAGCCGCTCCGTGGGTGAACGACGAGGCTTTCTGTTCCCACCAAGAGTTACAATCTTTGAAACTCACAGGAGTAGTTCTACCCTGCCCTATCTGGTTGCTCTGAGTCGGAATCAACTTGCTGAGAGTAGAGAGCGGTGTCCGTGTGGTTATGATGTATTGCCACTAGGAGGCAGTGGTCCCGTGTTTTAAACTGAGATTCCATTTAAAACCCATTGCCAGGAGTTGATTACAATTCTGGATAGATATCCTAATGGCTCAAGACTTGAGGAGGCGGGGCGGGGAACCCAAATTAAACTCTTAGGTGTCCCTCAAGGTAGCCAGCCAGGAAAGCTGGCCAGGGCACGGGGCTCCAGAGGGCTGGGCGGTGTTCCCCTGGGTCAGAATAAGGGCCAGGGCCATCAGGATGATCAGCACCCCGTACCCCGGATCCCAGCAAACCCATGCAGTGAGAGAGGCCGCGAGGGTCAGGTCAGATCAGACCCCCCAACGGGGCTTGACCCTGGACTCTGGGGCATTGCAGGTAGGAGCCGAGCTGGACAGGCCACACGAAAGACTGCAGCCCAGTGACCAGGAGGCTTCCAGGTGGCCAGTGGTTCCAATGGCTGGCAGAGGACTGACCGTGGCCTTCGCATCCCAGCCTGGTCTCCTGCTGTGAGGGTCATAAAGGACCCTGGGGGCAGTGCAGGTCCCCAAAGCCAAGTGGCAGCTTCGGCTCTCTCTGACCCACAGATGTCAGCCATCGAGACCATGACGGAGAAGCTGGAGAGCTTCGCAGCCCTGAAGGCCGACTCCAGCAGCTCCCTGCAGCCCCTGCCTCACCACCCCTTCAACTTCCGGTCCCCGCCCCCCACGCTCTCAGACCCCATCCTCCGGAAGGGCAAGGAGCGGTACACATGCAGGTGAGGCTTGGGCTCAGCCCCAGGGCTCCAGGGGGAGGGTCCCCACCTGCATGTTCTAGAAAAGCTCGAGGTTAACAGCCAGGGAGAAGCAGGGCTAGGGTGCAGGGCTCATTAAGAGCTCTTAGGTCCCTGCTCGTCTGCCAGAGGTTGGGACCCCTGGGACAGTCTGAGCCCCATTTGCTGGAAGCCCAAGCAAGGCAGCCTTGACCAGATAGCAGGCGTGTGGCTCTGGAGGTGGCTGGTCAGGGTTTAATGCACACTCACCCTTTGGAGATACACCTCCTGCCCCCTCACCAGCTGGTCTCAGTGGCTCCAGCCCCCCTTGGGCTGAGGGTCTGCAGAGGAGCATGCTCCCCGTGCCTGGGCAGATGGCGTGGCTCTTCCCGGGGCATGTGCCTTGGGAGTGTCTGGAATCTGCAAGGGCAGCAGGCAGGACAACCACGTGCAGGTGCAACAGCACAGGCACTGGCCCTGCTAGGGAATCCTCGGGGTTCCCCTCACCCTCAACACCTCCCTCCACCCCCAGGTACTGTGGCAAGATCTTCCCCCGATCAGCAAACCTCACACGGCACCTGAGGACGCACACCGGGGAGCAGCCATACAGGTAGGAGGCATAGCCTGTCCCCCGAGGCACCCTGCTGGGAGCAGGGGCTGTGAGGGGGTTCTTGATGCCCCCTGGGGACTGCTGGCTCTCTGGACCTCTGCTCCACCCAGCATTGGTATGCTTCCAGAAGAGGGAGGGGATGCCCAGAAACTTCCAGAATGTTCACCCAGGAGGGTGCCCTAGAATAGCTGGGGTGTGAGTGGGGGCAAACTGACTTAACTGGAGTCAGGCCCTCCACCCTGGGGCAGTCTGAGTGAGAAAACCTCAGCTTACTGCCCCCTCCGCCACCACCCCACCCCCCTATCACCTCAACCACCTCCATC